GCTCTTGAAGGACACACAGCTGGGCTCACATTCAGGAGAGTCGCTTCTCTGCTGCTGTTTGAGGCTTCAACAAAACACACAGCCTGTCAGTGGAGGGTGGATGGTTTGAACTGCGACACTGAGAGGAGTCATGGACATCTCACCTCTGAGCTTCGTTCTGGCTTCCATTTTCCCGTGACAGAGTGGTTTCAGAGCGAGGGACTCCCTCCTCTGTCTTCTCACACCGATTCATTGCACACCTTCACACATACGCAAAAAAAAAAATGCTGAGTCATACATTATTTCTCCTCATTCCTCTCAGATGAAAATCAAAAACCTTTTTTTTTTTTACAATAAATTTTAAATATGCAAATGGGACTATGTTTATGTAGCACAGTATAAAAACTGCTGACAGTCTCTGCTGCAGTTTACGGCCAGTGTTAGGCCTCCATTATACGCTCTTGTGTACTGACACAATAGACAGATAACGGTTGTCATTATGGTGCTTTGTTAGGTGGCAGTAATCTGCATGAAGGACTTATTTGCATGCAAACCCAGTAAACTGTATCTATGAATCTGACTCATACAGAACACTGCCAAGCATGCGCACTAGTGCCCATGTAGCATATAGGACTAACGTTTGGGGATTCACATGGGAGACCACAGTCAAAGATCCAATTGTTTGAACTTGACCAATGGTAGTTAAATCCCCAGTCACCCCATTAGCCATAGCATCCTTGGGCAAGACATTGAACCCCAAGTTGGTCCCAATTTCAGGTGAGCGCTCTCACCATGTTGGAAACCATGTGTAATGTGCTCTACAGTTCTTAACGAAGGTGTTATATGTGCTAGATATGTCATCAAGCCAACACATCTTCGTGGATGTCTGATATTTGTGTCTTGTGCAACGAGTATGCTACAAGGTCAATAGTGTACAGTAGTTGTTCCAGTTGTTTACAGACACTGTAAAGTCCATGTATGTCATGGCAGTCTTGAGTTCCCAATGATTTCAACAGCTCTTAATTTTTTGTGAATGGATTATTAAAACACACAAATCTTTGTTATAAAAAGAAATCTTTCCATTTGCTGCTTTCATACATTTATTAAGACCTTCAGACAAAATCTGCTACGTCAAAAACATACATAAAGAAATGCATCTCTCAGTTATCTGCATAGAATTTGCATGAAGTTTCTTCATCACAGTCCACATGGTCTTAATGGGGTTAAAGTCAGAGCTTTAAGGAGGCCAGTCTAAAACCCTGTTTCAAGCCTGGTTTGTCATTACCACTTTTCATATGTGTTTTGGGTCATTGTCTTGTTGGAACACTCAACTCCATCCAAGATCAAATCTTCTGGTTGATGGTTTTAGGATTTCCTGAAGACTGTGGAGGTAGTCCTTCTTATTCCATTGACTTTGTGTAAAGCAACAGTTCCACTGGCACTAGAACAGTCCCAGAGCATGATGCTGCCACCACCATGCTTGATGGTAGGTTTGGTGTTCTTGGGGTTTAAAGGCCTGACTTTCTCTCCAAGCTCAATTTTTGTCTCATCTCACCACAGAACTTTCCTCCAGAAGGCCGTTTCTTTGTCCATGTGATCAACAGAAAGCTTTAGTCAAAAGGCAAAGACACGTGTTTCAACAATTCCATCACAGAAAATTCAGAGTTATAGGAGTCACTGGAAACTCAAGACTGCCATGATATTGCATTTCTAAGTGTATGTCAACATTTGTCCACGACGGCACATGTTCAGCAGCGTGAGCAAACGCGTAGATACGACTTATTCAGCCGACTCCTGTAGACCACAAATCACTATGATAGCAACAAGTACGTGTCTGTGGTGTCTGCAAGGGACCATAACGAAGGCGTAATATACCTGCTGTAATCTGAACCTTTGCTACCTTCTGTCTTTTAAAGAACTCAAGTACAAAAAATGCACTGCTCAAGTGTTTTCTTACCCCGTTGAAAAAGTACCACTCATAGCTTCAAGAAATGTCAGGGCGATTAACTGATCACTGCAAAAACCATCAAGAACAAAACTAAGACATGTCGCCAACATTTAAGCTGCATTAACAAACTGAAAATGTTATTTTATAGTACTAAGGGGATTTCTTTAAAAGTTAAACATGATCCAGCTGCAATCACAAACTTAGTCAATGCAGAGAAGCACAGCTGACGGCTGTCAGTCCACTGATGGAGGTCTCAACATCTCCACAGAGACGACAGAAGTTTGTTTCTTCACACAATACAAATAAATAATTACAGATATTTTGGGTGAAAAACCAGAACAACAGCAAAACACAAACACAAACAACAGTGTTGGGCTGGGCTGCAATGAACAGTTCTATTTATCTCTGTAACAGATGAACAACAATCCTTCAACAAACACGTGCACAAGCTTCTCTATTGTCATTCAGGACCTCCTGTTAATATTTAATACTCAGTAAAAAGGTATTTTATAGGTCTTGCATCAAATTAGGTAATACAAAAATAGATTGGAAGAATATTCTCATGGATTCTGTGTTCGTATTCCATCGAGGTATTGAAGACTTTGCATGACTGCTTTAAAGCTCCAGACTGAGTTTGAAGCTGATTTCTGAGCTAAGCCTGACTCTACCTTCTAAACTAAAAGCTCTCCAGGAGATGTATATTTATTGTCTGACAAGCTGGAGCTCACGTTCAATTTTCACTGAAATAAGCTCAAACAGCAAGAACTGCTTGAGCAGTTTGGCCTACAGCCTGAACGAAGGAATGAAAGTACTGAAATACTTTCAATAAATCTGGTTGGTTAGTTGATAACTTTTTGATTGATTCACACTGATCACTGACTGCAGCACCGGTGAAAACGCTTTTTGTTGTTCAGATGTCTTCTTCCAGTAACTCACCCTAACCTCGGATACAGGTATACTGAAACATGCACCTTAACACAAAATAATAATGTGACATGAAAAAATCGTTATTAAAAGCTCACATTTACCTTTGGTCAGGATGTAGAAAACAATCTGCGACACATCAGGAAGAGAAAGTCACAGAAATAGAAAGGTAAGAGAGGGATGAATCATTAGCAGGAAAACACTGACCCTTGATCTGATCATGCATTTACAACCTACTGGATGATCC